AAAAAAAAAAAAAAAAATCGGAAAAAGTGATTTCTATAACATTGGCTGCAAATTGTTACATAAAATGAAAAGATCACGCGGCATTGTAATGAATCAAATAAGCTAACTAGATCTCTTTGAGAAGATGATTTATGGTCATTTTCAAGATAAACGGCTCGTTTATGTATCGATCGAATATCGTAATCAACATCAGAAGAAACATCGTGGAAATGGAAACCTAACCTAAACCTAACCGCGTCACGGTTACCCAACGGTCTGGGAATGTTACGTTATACACATGCGTTCCGCGACTTCCGCGTTGCAGGTTAATCAACTGGCTCTCCTTTCTTTCACCGGTGCTTTCGTTCTGCCTCGTTCCACGACGTCCTGTCGTAGTATTGTTGTACTATGGATTACACACACAGCGATGGCTCAATCGCGATATCCTCTCTCTGCTCTTGCTAAACTGGAAATACCACTGCGCGTGAAAGGTTGCGCACATTCCTTCCTTTGCTTTGACATCGATGTTTTCTACTTTTCCTTCACCAAATTCTCCCCCGTGATCATCGACTCTTCGTATAATTCGCTCGAACGTGCGCGCGACGAGATCGGACACGATGAGAGAGTTGGACAACGATCCTGGTTTTATTCTTCGAAGATGACGCATTCGTGGATAATGTGCAACGAGAATGAGGCACACGATGTTTTCTTGAGGAAATCCAAAGGAATTGAAATGTGTGACCAAATGCGGTCATCTGTACTTTCTTTCTTTCTCTCTTCTTTTATTTTTTCTTTTATTCTCGTTTTACAGTCAATTATTGCCGATGATTATAGTTATTGAGAAATTGCAAAAATGCGGGAAATAAAAAGTAGTTCATTATTTCAACTTTTGCATTTTTGACCCTACCCCCAAGGATTTTTAGACATTTTGTAAATTGCAATGCTTTGGAAGAAATACGAAAAATCATTTTTTTTTTTTTATTAACATAAATTCTTCAATCAAGAACTTAGTTGATTCCAATGGATCTCAGAACAAGTAAAAATTCAAGACCACCTACACCATAATTATTTTAAATTCCTCCCGCATACGCAAACTGGAGAAGAATATTATTTGAATGTGAACATTTCAACAGTGAATAAAAGTCGGATATTTTTTCAATTTTATAACACAGAATTGTAATACCTTTTTTTAAGGGAACTTTATTTTTTCAAGAATTAAAAAAGTTATTTCATCAATTTTTGAAAATGGCTTGAGCTCCACTTGTAGCCATCAGAAATTGTTATTTTTCTAAACAATATTTATCATACTAATTGATTGAAAAACGTTATACTACCATGTTACCAATATTTTTAAATTTATCAAAATGTTAAATATCTAAAGATAAAACTTGGGCCACTTTCAAAATAAACGGCTCAAATATACACCTATAATACAAACCGGGGACCATAAATACCCCATCCATGTGCTTATACGTTGCTTCTTTCTATTTTAGAACACGACTTCGCTTGGAAAGCCTAGAGGATGCTGTAATCGTGGAAGGTGACGACGACAAACTGACCGATCGACGAGGTTGTCCGGCATATGTGGCACCGGAAGTTCTACGCTCGGGACGAGCTTATTCCGGCAAGGCAGCCGACATTTGGTCGCTTGGCGTGCTCCTCTACACGATGCTGGTCGGTCGTTACCCGTTCAACGACGCCGAGCACGCGTCTCTGTTCGCAAAGATCTCACGTGGTCAGTTCGCAGTACCGGAAGGTCTGAGCCCACGTGCCCGATGTTTGATCCGCTCGCTGCTGAGAAAGGAACCGTCCGAGAGGCCGTACGCGGAGGACGTGCCGAGGCATCCGTGGCTCGCGAAACCGTTGCGAGTCTGTTGCACCACCTCCAGCAGATCCTCCTGCCAGGATCAGATCGTACCAGAGCTACCTAACAATCCTCAAGACTGACTCTTCCGAGAGAGAAAACAATATTCCGCGTGCGCTGGACCTAGCTTTTCTTGTTGATCCTCTATTTGGAAATCTCACCTTTTCACCTCGAGTTAACGTGGCTTTTGTTTTTCTCTTGGTTTCTATGTCTTTATGGCTTTTCCTTTTCCATTAACGATGTGAAGTTAATGGAAGGACAGACGCTTGGTTATACTGCGAACTATTGTTTCATTGTTCGTGTTTTCCAATGTGACACGTATTCTTGATAATAGCAGACTAAAAACTGACCAATATCTAAGAAATATCTTCAATATCTAAAAGAACAATATCTAAGAAATATCTTCCGCAGGCATTACATTTTGCCGGACTTTTACAATTGAGGAAATTTGAATCTATACTAACTTCGTTAATGTAACTGACTTGTTGCTTTTGCATGTTTAATGCAAACGTTGATAAAAATTGCCATGCGTCGTTTCATTTCTTTTATCACACATCGTGGATACGTAATTGTCGCTGGAAGAAATATAGTGCGATGTTGAAATTGTTCAAAAGTTACAATAAAACGTGTTTTAAAATAGATGAGAATTGTTAAGGAAGAAAATACTTATTTCTTGTGTCATCTTCTTCTACCTATAATACAATTAAGAATCAGTTGTTAACATATGCTGTCGTACATTATTGAAAAAAAAAAAAAACAAAAATAGAACAGTAAGAAGAAAAAAAAAGTTAAACTATCCTTATGTAGTTAATTGTGATTTAAGAGCGAATTAATTCAAAAAGTTTGGAAGCTAGAAATCTAACAGACTTGAAACACTTGGTACAACGAATTAAAAAGGATATTTCCACGTGAAAATCCAATTTAAAAATAATTAAAAAAAAAATTTTCTTCACAGAAGAAATTCACAAAAGAATTCCTTGTATCTTAAACACTTTAAATAAAAAGAAAATAAAAATCGAATTCGTCACTCTGAGGAAACATATTAAGTACCATAAACCTGACAAAAAGTTGATCTTTCTTAGAATATCATTAGCTTATGATCACACCATATTTCTTCCATCATACCACATTATATCATTTATGCAAAAGCCATGTTATTTGTCAAAAACGGATATCAAATAAAGGATTAACTGTTAATTGTTGCATCGAGGAGTCGTTTTGACTCCCAACTGTTCGTTGTTTTTCTTCTTCAATTTTTCTTTTTTTCTTTTGTTTCTCTTTTTTTTTTTACATTTTGTTCTGTCAACGTGGCGAAGAAGGACGGCCTAAAATATACAAATTAATTAATATCATTTCAATTAGAAAATGATGAAAAACAAGATGATCATTGTATGATTCAAAGAACAAAATGATCGTCCTGCGTTATTATTTATTGTTTCAATTCAATTTGTTCTTTCGAAAATTTAATATATATGCCATTGAAAAACATTTTATACATTGTTAAGGAGAGATGCATCATCCTCTGATGTGGTTCTTTTTTTTTTTTTTTAGTTATTTATTTCCGTCTTTATGCTAAGCTCGTGCGTCCTTGTTCATATACATTTATGCATACATATGTACGTACAACTAATCGAGATATTGAAATTTAGTGTTTCACGTTTCATATGTGCCAGAAACTCGATATGCACGTTCTCTTTTGAAACAAAAGCATGTGTATACTGTCAACATACTGCGCCAATATTATTAGTGATGTCAAACCTGTCTGCCTAATGATTATAAGTTTAAAAAATATTGTTTATTTAATTGTTACTTTAGAGAAATCCAATTCAGATTTCAGTTCAGTCCCACTCAAATCTCTGTTCGAAGGGATTCGTTTCCTTCGTTTTATACGTAAGCCAAATTATATCGATGCGATACAAAACAGGAAAGCTTTTGCTGTACATAAATTATACGCTGTACATAAATTTCCAATAGACGTAGAATCTACCAATACGTAAACAATTTAATTTCGAGAAATCAAAATATTTCTTCTTTTACATTGCCTCATGTTCCTCTTTCGAAAGAATATTCTTGTAAAACTGCTGTATACTTATTGTAAGAAGTCGAACGATTGTACTCTCCTAATCTTCGCAGACTGTTCAATTTGAGAAAACTATCGAGCGTTTATTGGTATCTATACAAATTATTATTCTGCAATTCCTGCAAGAGAAAAGTTAAATGTAAAATTACCAACTGTATGTGTTGAGATCGTCTGTGTAAGAGATCGTTTTCCTTTACATTTTATAATGCAATTCTCTTCGTGCACGGATACCTCGTGTGTCTCCCGAAGTGCACGATTTCTTGTATCATTCGAATCAGGGTACACTGGTAAAAGCGTTTCATTGACGCTGAAATATATATGTATATAAGTTCAATCCAGTCCATTAAGTCCTATTAAATCCTAATAAAATATTCATTAGGAGCATTAATAAAAGTTATGTACATAAGCAAATAAATAGTGTTTATGATAAATCTTTGCTGAACCGTGTATATTTCTTGAGGAAATCTTTCCATGAGACAGATTATATAGACAGATAATGTACAAAAGTTTAATTGAATTACACACGTATACATATATGAGGACAATTATTAAAATTTTTGAATTGTGATTTTATTTTATAGTTTGAAATTTTCATGCTATTTTCAAAGGGGTAGCAATCTTGCTTATCCAGAAAAAGTAATTGTTTCAATCGGAAGTTACAAAATGACAAGACTCTGATTTTCAATATTTGTTTCGTTAGCTTTCATCACTTTAAATACGGATTTTTCACTCGTAAAAGTTATATTTGATAAATAATGGGATATTCTTATATAGAGAGAAAGTATTATCTAATTTATAATACTGGAAGTAACTGGAAATCAATGACGTTATAATAATCATGTTTGATAATTAAAAAATACAAGTTTTTTGGAAAGTATTCAATCGTTGCAGTCATGATTAAGATATGTCTTTAGAGTGAATCATTTAATCCATTTGCATGTTGATTCTACAGTTTTATGTCAATTTTGTTAAATCTACGTTATGATTATCAATAATTGTAAAAAAAGAAAGTCGAAATTGTTGGTTAGATTTAATTTATTATAATTTAAATATTAAATTTAAATTGCCTTAGAAGGAACAATCAAGTGCAAAGAATTAATATTATTAAAATGTACATGTACTAATAGAATTATAAGAACTACTTTTCATTCATGAATATATATAACATATAATACAAGATAATATAATGTAGAAGCAGTCCTCATAGATGAGGTATTATGCATGTATATTATCAAAAATCTTTAATCCTCCAAATTTGATCGTTAACGTCCTCAGTAAAATTTCATTTGTGAATTTTTTGCAAAGCAAATATTTATTCTTCCTGAGGAATCTTCCAAAGGTTTGATTTAAAAACTAATTCTATAATGTACAGTAGTAACAACTTCTTTTATTTATATAGGATTCTTTTATATATGTATAGAAATTAATTCTTTTTCTTTCCTGCGCATCAGTATTTATTGTAGAGGATAAAGTTTTTCAATTGGACGTGTATTCGTGGGAATAAGGAAAATTTTTACTCGCACCTGTGTTTATTTCCAAATTAACATTCGAAAATAATATTAATACAAAATTCAATATATATTCTTGCTCAAAAATTTTAAAACACCTTTTATGATAGTAAAATTTTTAACTGCTCGCAATGTAATTGTTAATACATTAACATTTGACAGGTTCTTTCTTGTATAAAATATCGTTTAATTTAATAATTCTGATAATTTTTCAATTTTCAATAAATCAAATAATCAAAATGTTGAAAAAATGATCAAACGAGAAAAATACCAAAATTCTCAAAATTCTGAATCATACAAATAAAGAATTATATTTCTATCTACTTCCAATTTCTCTTATTAAATATCGAACGAGTTATTTTTATTTACGGGTGAATTAATATATTTAATAACAAAAATGTTTCGTTATATTTTTTAAATAAAGAAAATAATGACATGTACATGTACATATACGATAAAAAACATAAAGTTTATCATTTTGTAGAATCTCATGCAGAATTTGTACTTACAAATCGTTCCGAGTCAGATGTCGCTAGTAGCAAGAATTATTTAATAATTATAAGATTTAAAACATATATGTTTGATCATTGTGTCAAAATAAGATATAAACCTTGCTCAAGTATTGTAAATTTTAAAAGGAAAAAGAAATATACATATATATAAAGAAAAAAGATTTTATACCGTAAAATTTCTAAATTTAAACCATTGCTTCATAGAGGTTAATAGATCAAATCACAGCGCAACCACTACAGTAAAATGAATGTACCTAGATTTTTTGAACTTTAAGGGAATTAATAACAATCTGTATTCGTGATTTTCAAGATTTCAAATAAACATTTGACACGTCATAAGAATTATTTAATAATTATTCCAATTTTCAGGCAATCGTATGTGTACATACACATATGAAACATTCAACGCAAAATTAATTTCATCGTTGGTCGTGACATTTACAAAAATAGACTTTAATTACAAAAATAAAATGTAACTGCTTTTCCTTGACAAGTGAATCATAACACAAATAACGAAATGAAATATTAAGAAACAGTTGTTTGTTTCTTGTTATTATTATTTTTATACAAGATTTCCAGCGACGTATAAATCGTCCATCAATAAAACTCAATTGCTATTCAATCAATTTTACTCGAAACGTATTATCACATAGTAATTGCACAAGATATAGTTACAATCGTGTTGAATGAAAAATGGCTGCAAACGTAAGGACAGGTGAGTAGCACGTATTTACAAACCTGTCGATAGTAATAAACCAATAACCATCACCGAGAAAGGAATAACCAAACTGTTGTAATCAAAGAAGGTACATGTAACGAGATGGAAATATAATTTTTTACCCCTCATATTTGGCATTGCAATTGAATGTCATTGCAATTGCATTGAACGTCATATTTTTCATCCGCACGTCAAATCCAATATATACTATTCGTTAAACTTTTTATTATTATCGCGAATATATATTATTCGACGCCTCTGAATTCACATCGTGTTGGAAGATATCTGAAACTTGGCAGTGGGCGTATAATCGGATCGGCTTCGTTATTATCGTTACGAATTATTCTTCGCAAATTTCCTTTTACGTACGTATTTGCGATTGTGCGCGAAAATATATGGAAAAAAATTCACACAAGTGTCTGCGTGTCGCACGCTGCGGCAGTAGATTTCAACAAACTTGCTCAACAAGAGATATCACTTCATTTCATGATTTGATTTCAGAAATGCGGATTCCTACACGTTCGGCTCCTCGTCCACCTGTCAACTCGACGTCACAAAGAAACGTTATTTGGAATGGCACGTAAGTTCGACATTATATAATTTAATGCAGATTTTCTCTGTCTACTGTTATTTTTATAGCGTGTAAATATTTTTATCTTTCAAATGTGTATATATGTATGATATTAGTGATGTATCTTAAGATGTTAGTGATATATCTCAAAATATATGAATATGCGACAAGTATTTATTGCAAAATTTATTTGATTTTTAACGTTGATAGGAACAATGTTTTTGGTTCTTCGTTAACTCAACAACCTGTTCAAAAGAAGAAACCACCACCTCGGCCACCACCTCCAAAGTTTACTCAGAATTACTTGCAAGCGCAAAAGGAAAAATTTAAAAAACCAGTGTGTAGACATTTGTTAAATTCATATTATACAATTAACAAACGTTCAATATTATTTATATGGTAATATAACTATGTTATATTATAGGTAAGGCCGACAGAACTTTTAACCAATTTCTTCGGAAGAAAAAAAAGTGAACATTCAAGCGTAACACAATTGAATAGTCAGATACACAACACAATATTACAATCAGAAAACACAAATGGCTCAATTTGCCTAATAGATTTTAGTCCACCTGGCTCTCCAACATTCACAACTCGATCGAGTAGCGATGGTGTTAGCATAGATAGTTTTGGCAGCGATGGAAACTCAAATCCATCTGCATTCACAAGCAGTGGAAATACATCTCAAACGGAAAGTGCCTTTGAAGATGACTTTGATTTTTTTGGAATATCTACTAAAAAAGCACCACAAAACGATCCATGGAAAGTTAATTCAGTGACAGATCCATTCGGACCGTTAGAAGTCACTAATCATAACACGTTACAATCTGTGAAACAAGTAGGTGATGCGTGCTTTTTTGCTTTCAATGCAAATAATTATACCGACAACCAAGTACCTTTCAATCAGACGTCTTTGAAAACTACTCATTCAATGCCAACTATAATCCGTGCGAAACCACCCAAACCTCCAGTTTCGAAAGTTATACAGATGAAAATAGGACAAAAAATCAATAATGTCGAAACTGACTCGAGACGTTCAAACAACACAGTGCCTTTTGCTAAGCCAATGACATTGGATTTAAGTAATTCATGGCAAAATGATTCTAAGGACAATCCTTCGCCTCCAATGCCTACAATACCACCGCCTGCGCCACCTTTAGAATATTTAGCAGAAATAAATAACGATTTACCAGTAAGTAATTATAATTTAATCTGTGTTTATAACCAAAATAATTGATACTATCCTATTTTCAGATCAATAGCGAAGAACCTTACGGCATTGCTCTGTATGATTTTCCATTAATACACACGGGCGATTTGCCTTTTAAGCAAGGCGATGTAATATATTTGATACGAAAAATCAACGAAGATTGGATGGAGGGTAGAATAGGAAATCAACAAGGAATATTTCCTATTAATTTTATTGACATAAAAGTACCATTGCCTGGTATTCCAGATAATATAGTTACTGCTATCTACCCTTTCAAGGGTGAAACAACCGAAGATTTAGTATTTGATGTAAGTTAACATGATACAAACAAATTTTGATATGATTTGTTAACCGTTATTGTTTGTTCGTCTATCACAATTTTTGTAAATGTTCTAAAAATAAGCAAAAATTGATAGTGATCTATTTTCATTCGCTGTAAAATCAAAAATTATTTTTTCATTTACGCTTTTTACAAACTTGTAATGACAAAACCCATTCATATCGAATTTTACTATACTGTATATGTCTTCTCGTTTAAAATTCATTTTAATTTTATTTTACTTATATATTATTATATATGTTACAGGAAGGAGAAAAAATTACAGTTTTATCGAGGATTTCACATGATTGGTTATATGGTGAGTGCGAAGATCGAAAAGGGCAATTTCCGGTAAATTACGTAAATAGAATCCCATGTAACCTTCCATTATCACATTAATTTGCACGTTCCCTCATATTACGAATGATATGTCAGTGGTTTTTCTGCCTTAAATTTGGTTCTTGATCTTATATATGCGATAAATTTTTATAATATTTTCGTAAAATAAGAAACAAAAAGTTTTAAATTTATCGAGTCTTTCCATCATAGTTGTATTGAATGATTAAAACGTATATTTCGAGAATTTCTATTTACAAAAAGACTGAATTATATGCAAATGCGTATTGTCTTGCAAGAAAGAGGGAGAAAAAATTTCAATGAAATATTTTTATTAGTTTTTAAAATATCGAATTTTTGAAAATAAAAGATCTACATTTTGAAACTTTTTAAAATCAAAAGTAGAGTAATTTTTCAGAAATGAATTAATCTTTTCTAATTTTTACTTCATTATTAGTATTTATATACATTTCAAATGTTATTTAAAGAAAAAATTAAATAATACAAATAAAACATTTCGTACTGTCATAAAAATATTTAAGTAATATTAAATATTAAAATTATTCCTAAATTATATATGTAATATATATTTTTATACAAAATAATTCTTTTGCTAATTAATTTAAAGATAGTGCCATCAGTAATATGTACGTTCGTTTTCATTTCAAGGATAGGGGCGGTTTCGACTTTTGATAAGAATTATCACGTCAATATATATATAATGTGACATGACAAATGATACATATGTGTATATATGTATATATGAAACAATTAGCACTATCTTTGGATTAACTAATGAGAGGATTATCTTATATATTAAAATGCACTTAAAGTGCAAAAATGTGAAAAAATGTACATATAAAACTTTATAATAATCTCTTATCTTTTTAGCAGAAATTTCAATATAATTACGCACAAAGTTTAAATTGAGGATCTAAATATTAAATTTCAACGAATCATATTTATAATTTAAATTCTATTTAAGTTATCTATTATATAATATATAGTGAAAGTAATATTTTTTATTATCAAGTTTTTGGAATAACGTTTCTTTGTAAATTTTTCAAATTAATTGTTAAGTATAGGCAAATCCTAAATTTATCGATAAATTGAATACACTTATTTAATAAACTCAATAACTAAACAATAATTTGTAAAATATGCAACATGATACAAATAACACGTCTGAATAAAATGAATAATTATATTTTCTCATATTTTACACAAAATATTCAAAACTTAGTAAATCAATGCAAAATTGCAACTAACACCAAAACATGTGATGTTTTAGTGTTATTGTAATTATTTTGTTCAGCATATTTCATATTGCGTTGTTATATAAAAAATAAAAATTACGTTTAATAGAGATAACAAAAACAAAGAGTAATACAAATTTTTTATTTACTTATAGTTTATTACTGATAAACATGTATATCATACTTTATACTTGAATGTACTACATATATCAAATTGTATTTTGTAATATATATTTAAAATATATTTCGATTTATGTTTAGTACATGAATATGCTAATTCTAAGAATATTAAATTTAAATATTTGCTATAGCATCACATATTTTAATGTAAATATTTAATTATTCTCTCACTACAATGAAAAATGTATTTTCACAAGTGCGTGTATATAAATAGATGTTTTTCAATTATAATATGTAAAAAATTATTTAAACAATTTTTCAAATATCAGAGGAGATTTTAATTGCAGTATTAGTAAGCAATAGTTTTATAAATTCTATAATCTATATTGGGACCAGAAAATTGATTTATAAAATTGATATGAATTAATATAATTAATATAATTATATAGCATAATTATATAGCAAATTACAGCATAATTTGTTATATCTTCACTTTTGTGAATATAACACAGAAAAATGTAATTTTTAAAATTATTTCAGCATATGCAATGTGATATCTGGCTACATTAGTAGTCATTTCTTTTCTTAAATTAATTATTTAATGTGATAAATAATACTAGTAATATAATATACTTCCTAGAAACATGTAATAGAAATTTTAATTTTTGTAAATTATGAAAATATGTAATAAAATTAGTAAAAAACATAAACAAAGAAAAGTATACCTACCAAAAGTGATCTAAATAATAAAATTTGCCATGAAATGTATCAAACAAAAAGATGATGTAAAAAATTTATTTTATTATGTTTAATGTTAACAGTCTTTATAAATTCTATGTATTCTATTGCGTTAAATGTGTGCAACAATACTATTATTTTGTGCAGAAACATTTCCAGAGATGGAATGTTTATCAAATGCAATAGCTTTTATTAAAATACATTCGAAGGCTGTATGGATTTCAAATGTGTCGGATATTTTGAACACGACGTATATTTGTTAATGTGTTTAGAAAATATTGAAAACATTACAATCTTATATCGCTTTAATGTCTGTATAACTACGTTCCTAAATTTTTCACCTGTGAGACAATATAAAAAAAAATTGATTGCAAAATTCCAATGATATATGTGAAAGCACAAACCGCGGCACCATTTCAATAACATTTTTTCTTTCAACCTGAAAAACAATTAATTGTCAAATACCGCAATTTTCGACTTATTGTAGTATGTATGCAACTAATATACATATACACATGTAATTTATATACCAATGTATATATTCCGCTTTCCTTTTTGCCTCAGTATCGGGAAATTTAATCAAAATGATATCCCAATATAGCCCCAAAGTTTCAACTATTCCAAGGGGTAGCAATAGCACTAAATAAACAGTTGATACTACAAACAATGTTCTGGAAGTATGATGTATTTTGTTCGTTTTATGTCCGAAATTTTCTAAGAAATAACGTAATTAAATTTATTCGTATTTGTTTAATCACGCGGATTTTCTTGAGTTATTTACTTACGAGTCAACTGGCAACGAATTTTCTCAGTTTTTTTCATATGTATGATGAGTAAAATATTTCCAATAAATATAAATAGTAGAGGCAACCAAGTTGATAATGCAATGTAAAAATACATTGCATTACCCCATGGTTTTATTTTTTTTTGGCATGGTATAAATTCAAAAACACTGTCTGTTTCATAGCCTGCAAATTAAGCAAAATATTTAACATTTTAATTGCCACAACTTTAAACATATTATTATTACATGTAGTATTACTATTATTATTACTATTACTATTACTATACTATTACTATTACTATTACCATTATATTACTATTAATAAAGTAGAACAAAAAGAATTGTAAATACCAATAAATGTAATGAAACATAAAGCATAGAACTGTTTACCTTCTGAATACAATTTTGTTAATGATATTATAAAGCTAAGGCATATCAAAATGGCGATGGTTATTGTCCCAGAGCAATTGTTATAATGACCATATATTCCAAAAGGAAACATAATAGCAAATAGTCGTGTCCATGTGAAAACTACTACTAGCCAGGTAGATGTAAATTGAAAGAATTCCATAGTAATGGAATTCAAACCGCATAGAAATCTACTATTCTAAGAAAATGATAAACTTGAATTTTTAATTATGCATAAGATAAATCTAATTTGATTGCTTACCATGAAAAGATTATTAACAAATATAAAATGTGATTTTGCAATGCCCACAGCATAATTAAATACTAGTGCTCCATTATCGGACAAGGCAAGTGCCTTTAAATAAAGCGATAAATTAGTTTCACAAAGTACAGGTGTACTCAATATTACAAAAGATATGGTATTTAACAACACACCTATGTAAATAATTAATCATTTATTACAGTAGATCTAAACTACAAAAATGAAGCAACACATTATTATGTAATAAAATGTAAGATTAACCTTTTTCTTTTTTACTTACCAAGTATTATAATGAAGGGTGTTACGAAGCTAAGTAAAAAACGTACAAACTTAACAAATGGTTGTAATGATAACCAGTAAAAACGAATTTCACAAGGCCACACAATTTCCAAATCAGATTGTGAGAAATTATAAAGAAAATCCAAAGTTGTTAACGGTAATGGACATGTCAAATTTCCTTTAATGTAAGAACTACATAATAAATGGAAATATGCACATGAAGATATACGATAATCTTTCTTTATCAATTACATTTATTTGTAATTTTTATAAAATCCCTTCTCACCTGACTTCATCTTTTACTGAAGTTTCACTAGAACATATTGTTTGTAATAATACATTTAGTATTAATATGAATTGCAAATGTATACTGTTAAATGACATCATTTGTATACATGTGCTGAAAATATCAAAAAAATTGTAATTCTACAAAATATGTTTTGATTTAAAATTTATATGATATCTTCTGTCAAACACCTATTCACTACTTATGACTAATAATGTCTTATAATAATGTTTTGAGCTGTAAAGGCATCTGCTGTTTTAATTATCATAACAGAATTATTCTTGGCAAATGTCATTTCACTGCAGATAACAGCTTATAAGATTTGTATGTATATAGCTAGAAAGAGACCAGCGTTTTGTGTATATTTAATTATAAATGTAAATTTACACCTACATTCAACAATGAAGTTTGTACGTATAATTCTATTTCAAAATTGAACTTTTTTGAGAAAAAAAGAGTATTATGCTAAAAACTTTATATTATCATACATACAAAAAAAAATTCGTGCAAAGAATTAAATATTACAAAATAATGTATTTATTATTACAAAAATACAAATGCCTAAATCAAAATTGTTTTAAGATGTTAAAATAAGAAACTCTAAATATCTAGTATATACTAAACAATTTTTTTTTAACGAATTATTTATTAATAAATGTCTAGATATAAGTTACAGGCAGTAATTAAATCTAAAATTAATATAATAAAAGATTTAGTATATATATTTAATTATAAAATATAGAAAAGATGGATTTAGTTAATAAAAATTTTCATCTTAATAATGTAAAATATATTTTATTGCATAGAAATTATCATTTTATGGAAATATAAATTTATGGTATAAGTGTTCCATATTTTCCATATATAATATATACATATAGAATTTAGATAATCCACGAGTGAAAGGCACACGTTAAAATTGTGATACTCTAATATTCATTTTCATAAAAGTATCGAATAATGCTTTTCTTCTGCTGCAATAGTAATAAATATAAAATAATATTCTCGGTATTCATAACAGAATTTCCGTGTATTTTGTACTTTTTTTAAAATTATTTAATCGGGTTAATTAAATAAAAGTGTATTTCTTTTAAACAATTTTCTAAAAATTTCTTTATTACATTTCTACGAAACACAATTAATATACTAGAGTAAATACAACAAAAATGACATTACAGTTCTAGGGACATTACCTTTTATTTATTTTGCCTATCAAAAATATATCCCTTTCATTTCATAAATTTTGTATCTGCCTAAGAATACTATATAAATTGGCTTAATATCTGATACTGTTTTTTTTTTTTACATCAATCTTTTATATCATAATACCAATATATAAATAAGTTTGTCTGAAGGAATTTCTTTTCTTTTTTTAACAATGTTTATTTCTCCATGTACTAGTAAATTCGTTAAATTCGATGCACTTCTCAAAACAATTTTATACTTCTTCATTTTGAAATTCTAGATTCCTTAAAATTGTCAATTATTTGTAATGTTTCCTTCTGAAATATATAAATTTTTAACATATTTACAATCACATTCATAAAAATATGCAATATAATTTATCTGCAAAAAAGATATAATTCAAGAAATTAGCTATGCATTCTGCTTATATATACGAAAGAAATAAAAATGCAATTTTTAATTCCTATTTAATACACTTAAATCAATTATTAGTGAAGAAATAAATCCATATCTCTTGACTAATAAACTTACTTTTGTCAATGTTTTGTTTATCAAAATACAGATTTCAAAAGAATCAGTTTCACATATTTACAAATGTTAGAAAATATCTGCACTATAAAATTTAGAAGAAAGAAAAAGAACAATTAAGCATTACAAATACATAAATTACTAGTATATATCATAAAAGCACGTTAAATTTTACATTTATCGTTTCTGCATATTTCTATTATATTAATAATATTTTTTAAACACGCAAAGAATCAAATATTTTTACATTCATGGTTCCATTGCACAGTACATCTCAAGTGAAGTATGAACAATTTACATGACTACTCACATGATTTCGAATGAAATAATTGCTAATTAATGTAGGATCTATTTAATTATAAAATATATTTAACTCATATTATTTAATAATTAGTATATTTATTTACGAATAAGTCAAGAATCATGTTCCCAAACTAGTGTGTTGCACAATATGAATCATAATCGATAATTTTTGCAAATTAAGTACATGCCTTAGAAAGAAAGAAAGATATTTACTGTATTTAGTATATATTAAGTTAGAAACTCAGGTGTACGTGATGTTTGAGACATATGTAAAATATACGTTTAAATTTAAAACTAGTCTTATATTCTCAATCACAGCCACTGAATAGAAAGAAAAATATATCTTTGATACTTTTCAAGATTTTAACACATGTCCTATCCATTTTTCTAGAATTTTTCTATATTTCGTTACAATTATATTCAGAGTTTATTTTTAATTCTTATGTGTCAACATAAATTTTCTCTTATAAAATAGAATTTCTTATATAGAGAAGTGTCTGTGCAGAACCATATAATGTGATATATAATATTATAGAATAAAAAATTGTTAATAAACACCGTTTATCATTGAGAACAATATTATAAACACTTTGTATTTTAATATTGTACTTTCCATTTTTCCAAAATCTCGTTTTCTGTAAAAATTGTTATGAATACTCAAAAAATTTTTTTCTTTTTCTCTAGTGCAAAATAGTTTATCCCATGTCATATGTAAAACAATTTATATTTCAATTACAAATAATATCATTGTCTCTTGACAGCAACAGCAACGATATGCTCACTATCTTAAATTATAATAAATTTATATGTCGAAAAGTAAAACATATTTATCTGTATTTTATTTTCTAATATCACCTTGGTAAGAAATCAATCTATAGGCAAAATAAGTTTCTATATTGTATACGCAAATATGTACAAACGAGTATCTGTACTTTGCAATTATACGAGAACTTGTGATAGTTATTTCTCACCCTTGAATCACAAATATTTCATAATCGATTCGTTGTACTGTATCAGATTAATCTCTTACCTGAAAGCTTAATGTCTAATTGAAATGTAGGTTTTAAAAAATTATTAATAAAGGAACGAAAATTGTTCGAAATAATTATGTTTTAATGACTAGTAAACTAGATATCAAGCAATATTTTTTATATATGCTTATAATCCCATTTTGTGATTCTCTTTATGCAAATTGATTGTTTTCATTAAATAACCCAAAACTGAAAGCAACTGAATCTTTTTATAAAAAATGAGTACATAAATTGTTGTCATTTTGTTTCCGATAATTAAATTTTTGAAGAATAAAATTAATGTATCATAACAGTTCCGCATTCATATCTCATTATTGTACTGTGCAATCCTACATATAATATTTACAAAAATAAGCATCCCGCAAGTGCTATTTGTATGTGTGTACGCGCGTGCTGACATACATATGTATATACATGCACGCGCACATACACACATTTGTATACGATGACACTTAATTCTTTCATATTTTAAAATCAAGCCAGAAGCTGTTGGCTTTTCACATTTTAAAGTTTATACTAATTTGTTATGCGCACAGATCATAGTATCCAGATCTTTCTTTTAGTCAGGTTTATATATAGGTATTTTTGGAATAAATTCAATTAAAAGAACCTGAAATGCAAAAGATAAAAACAAATAAATGTGTATTTATATGTAAACAGAGATTTGTGCTTAAGAATAGCTTAGACAATGATGTAACTAAAAATATAAATGAGTTTATACTAATAAGGTTTCAATCATTTACATAATCAAGAAACTGAAGAATTTGTTGTTTTCTTTTCTAAGAATTACAATTACAAGGGTGCATCACTTAAATGGAATCATCTAAGTAACTTCGTTGTTTTTAGAGACATGGATGAATTGTTAATAAAAATTATTCAATACTAAAACAGCGATAATATAAACATAATGGTTTTTTTTTAGGTGGAGGGATTTAAGATTATTTCAGGATTCTATTTTTTTAAGTAGAATGATATTTTTGCTTCATTAATTGATGTAGCTCAACGTTCTCTATAAAAAAAGAATTGATCTACATATTTCAAAAAACTATTAGTCTAGGAGATATTTGAACCTTAATTCTGTAAAATCCATCATATAAAAGACGACAAAGGTACTATTTTTATATTCATATTCTCCTTGTCTCTCATGCATAGGTTTTGTAAAATTAAAGTTGAAATATTTCTTAAACTGACAGTTTTCTGACATACATTAGTTAATACTTTTTTTTTATAGAGAATATTAAGATGCATTCATTAGTGACTAAAAGATCATTATATTTAAAAAAAATGGAGGTGATCTTGAAATCTCTTCACCACAAAAAAAGTCATTATTACCATACTATATTCTCTTCAATTGAATAACTTTTATTAATAAAGTTTATTTATGTCTGTTGTAAAAACAACAGAATTATTTAGGTGATCCCATTTAAAGAGTCCATTCTGTATAATAAAAAATTTGTATAATCTAAAACTACATGTTGAAATAAAATCAGTAAAAACGTAAGAAGTTCAATTATATCTTACTTACATATTCCATCATGGACGAAGTGTCACATCTTTGTTTCGCTAATCTCCAATGTAATCCAAGTTTGTGATATAGCCTACTGTTTTCCCATTCTAGTAATTTGTTTAAAGAATGTTGTGTCTATAAATAGTAAGATACAGATTATTTATATTTTACACATCTTATTTTATATATCACATATTGGTCAATAAGAACATTCATATAAGGGTCAGTAAAATATAAACCGGAATTTGTGTCATATCGGCACGCTCTTAATTTTCTAGATGGGATCAAACAAGAACCAAGTTAAGAGTGTCTTATAAAAATCCTTCTCAGAGTTATATTTTTGGTCTAACCATTCGC